GGGGGGGCAGTTTACCTTTGCTCATTAACTTCAGTTTTGCATATATCTTTTTTTTTGTTTGTTTAATTGTCTACAATTTCGTACTAGTGAAGTATACTGGATAAGAAAAGAATTAGTCTATTTATAAAGTTCTGACCGACTTCCAGAAAATTCAATCCAAACTAGATTTGCCACGTTATGAAGAAGACAAAGTTTCGAATACTAAGCAAAGGGGTCCAACGTCGGCAAAAAATGAAGCTACAACCATTAGTGTTAATACAGCTGTTTTATTTGTTAAATCAAACAGATGTCGGCAAAAATCAATTAAGTCACTGTCATTAGTGGTCAAACAGTTGTTTATTTGCAAAATCCGACGAAAAAACAGTTTGCGTGGTTGATAATTAAAGAACATTTTCCTGGTAATCGCGATAATCAAAAGTCTAACCATCAATCTATTAGGATTTAATTTGATTCGGTTCAATAATTGAAATTCATATTTAGAACCTATAATAATGAAGTCCTTAATTTGAGTAGCTTCAAACTCAACCAAATTATATAGTGTGACCAAACAATAGAAACAACTCCTTGGAGATTTGTCTTTAACTTCTTCCCTTTTTTTCAGAAAAAAAAAAAAAACATGGCAAATACTTCGACTTGCTTCCTTCTCGGCGCTGCTTTCTTTCTAGGTAATTTACACACATCCAACATATGATTTTTTGTGTTTGATCTTCTTCAGTTGATCCCTCTTGTTCCTGTTAAGTCTCCTTAGTGTCCAAAATAGTTTTGTTTTTATATTTCTTTCTTTCCTCGCTTTTTCCTTTTCTTCTTAAATACAAATATGAAGAAAATCATATCAAAATCTAAGAGTCAAATCTTACTATTTTTTGTCTTGGATCCACAAATTAATACAACCAGTCTTTAGTTTCATGGTGATAATTTGCCCTAAAGAGAAGATTAAGTAACTATTGGTTTTATACTGATTTTTTTTTTCTTTTTCTTGATGCAGTTGGAACGATGATACCATGGGCAATATTGGCACAAACATGCTACCAAATACACCCAGAAATACTATGCGACCAAGGCAAAGTTGAACCAGAATGCTTGCCTTTTTGCAAGAACAAATTTGGAGACTCTAGTGGCGGACAATGCATTGAAAATGTTGGTTTTGTTGGCCCTTTTTGTGCTTGTGATTATCCTTGTTAGCTGCTCGTTCTCTTCTCTTTCCTAATAAAGTATTGCTGTTACATGTAGTTTTCATTTAAATGACTTGTAATTATTGATCTTATGATGTAAAAAATTCTTTATACAAGTTTAAGTCTTTTGATACAGGAGTAATTAATTAATACTTTATTTGCACTCAGGTTGTCTTAGATAAAACTCCATGCATCTTGTTTTTACTGGAGAAAATAAGATGAAGTATGTGTTGGTATTATTTATAATGCAAAGTCAAAAATTTCTTCGAAAATCTATTTACAATCAATAGTTATGGGTCTTTTTATTTTTCAATCTATTTCCGAGTGGCTTCTTGCATAAAGCCTTAAAGCCAAGTGTTAAATGGCTTTGACAAGTGGCTATGCAAATCTACCATGTGTCTTCATGCATGGAAGACTAGGTACACTTGTCAAATGGACTAATATATTTGGACAAGTGTTAAAAGACTCTCCACACTTGTCATACATGCAACTTCCCTAATTGCATATAAATAAGATGATTATTAACGATCATATTCACTCAATTCTTAACCAATAATTCATCTTCCTAATCATCACTTTCTTCCTACAATATTTTAAATTCTGTAACAACTACAGAAAAAAATTTCATCTTCTCTTCTTTCTGGGCAACTATTTTGTGCAAATTCGAAACTTCCAGCCACGAGTGCATGTGTTTGGAGGTACTGTGGAACCTTGGGGAGCGACCGGTCTTAACAATTTGCACTCAGTCGGGCTGAAATTGCTTTCAAGGCAGTGGCTTGTCACGACACAATATTTTTTATAAGTTGTTCTTCTTTTCTTCTTGTTCTTAGTCAATATTATCTACTTATTTTTCTTACAATTTGAAAGCGAATTCATATATCATATTGACTAATGGCCACCACTTTGAACAAAACACTTCCTGATCTATCAAAGCTTGAGCCTTTAGATGGAAAAAATTATAAGCGTTGGTCCCAGAAACTTTTAATTTTTTTTGAACAATAGAAGTTGATTATATTTTGTTTAACGATCCTCCTGCTGATATTATTACTGATAATTCTAATTCTATCAATATTATTGTTGTTGATGATGCTACTAAGAAGAAATGTGAAAAGGATAATAAAACAGTGAGAGGGCATCTGCTTACTCATATGACTAACCCTCTCTTTGATTTGTTTATAAATTATAAATCTGCTAAAGTCATATGGGACAGTTTGGAGAAGAAATATGGTGCTGATGACGCGGGAAAAAAGAAGTATATCGTTGAAAAGTGGATCAAGTTTCAGATGGTTGATACTAAGCCAATCATGGAACAGGTTCACGAGTATGAGAACTTGACTGCTGATGTTTTGAATGAGGGCATGGAGATGTGTGAGATTCTTCAGGCTAATGTTCTGCTTGAAAAGTTTCCACCTTCCTGGAGTGATTACAGGAATCAACTGAAGCACAAGAAGAAAAACTTAATTCTTCAAGAAATGATCAGTCATATGAGGACTGAGGAAGCAAACCGTCTCAAATATGTGGAGTCTGAACGGCTTAAGAATAAGATGAAATTTCTCTCTCTCTCTCTCTCTCTCTCTCTCTCTCTCTCTCTCNTAGAAGAAAGGCCAAAAGAAAGGACAAGTGAAGAAGCAGAATTACTTTAATCAGCCGGAGGGTCATATTCAAAAGTCTAAAGGACCTTGCTATGTCTGCGGCAAAATTGGTCACAAGGCTTTTCAGTGCAACCAGAGACAAGGACAAAGCTCAAAGATTGGAGGAAAAACTCCAGTCCAAGCTAACCTTGTGAACAACTAATTTTTTACCACACCCAAACTAGTTTAGTGTAAATATTTCTTTCACTACAGGAAATTGAGGATACAACGACATTTATTTAGTAACTATTGAAATAAATGTCATAAAATTTCCTTTTTTGACATTTATGACAAAATATCGTAAAAACTACGATATTTAATATTAATTGTCATAGAAACAATGACATTTGATATTAAATATCGTAAAAATGACATTTAATGTGAAATATCATTAAAACAATGGCAGTTGATACAAAATATCGTCAACATAATGACATTTTTTAAGAAATGTCGTAAAAAGTACGACATTTGCTACAAAATATCGTAAAAATTAGACATTTGATGCAAAATGTCATAAAAAGGATGACATTTGGTGTAAAATATCATAAAAATAATGACATTTGGTCCAAACTGTAGTAAAAATACGACACTTTAACAAATGTTGTAAAAACTTTTGATACAAATGACAAAAAAATGTGACCTTACTTTAAATGTCATATTATTTATCGGTAATTACGCATTAACATCTACGATTGGAAATTTCTCTATAGTTTCTAAATTTTAAATCATTCTTTGTCTTAAAAAAAATATCACGCCCTTTATATTTAATATTTAATTTGTTAAAATATTGTGATAATTACCTACAATATAGACGATTTCGTTTCTTAGCTTGTTGCATAATAATTTAAAAGGCTCGTCCAAGACTAGCTCCTGGGCGAGTCATTTGCACAAAGTCTTGAGGCAGCTAAAGTGTAGGGCTTAATTTGTGAGGCTTACATGCACCCCAAACATAAGATTATGCACCCTACACGTCTATTGCTCGGTGCTCGGGCTCGCTCAATAAGTACTAGTTAAATCATCTGTTAAATTTTCTGATTAATAGTGTTGACCCTCAAAATACATTAACAAATGAATGATCTTAACTCAAATAACGGGTCATAGTATTGTATATTTACTAAGTGAGAACATCGTGAGGGTTAATATTATTTGAACATTTTCTCTGAATATATAGATAGTCGAACTGTATATCCTCACTCGCTATTGATTTGTAGTTCTTAGATTTATTTCTACCAAAAGAGACTTTAATACCTTGTATTTATTTCTGAAGGGATAATATTTTGAATTATAATATTGATAAAGTTTATTGATTATTACTTTTAGGAAGGTAATTAAATGTGTAGTTTGATAATAGTTTAATTTGTAACTTCGAGCCTTTTAGGGAAGCAATCAAATGTATGTAGTTTGATAACAATTTTAACACTATTGCATTGTTTATACTTGTAAAACATGTTAGATATTTTATTTTTATATGAGTATCCTTAATCCTATGATTTTCTTAAACTTTTAATGTACTTTCTATTATATTATATTATATTATATTATATTATATTATATATATATATATATATAATATTTTAATTAAAATTTTTAAATCGGCAAATTTTTTGATTTCTTGAACTAAAAGATTTAAAGTTTCATGAGGCTTATGCCTCCCCCGATATTCAGTGAAATGCCCACGTCATAAGCCTCGCCTTTTAATAAATTTTGCCAATTTAAAACTTTTAATTAAAATATCAATGTTTAGTCAAAATATATATTATTATTACTACTACTTGTTAGATTTTGGATTAAAAATGAAATATTTAAAAAAACAAAAATATATATGAAAGCAAGGAACCAACATTTATTGACCACAATTGAGAAAGTTAATTAAGTCGTAAGCCTTGGTACAACAGGACTCATCCCCTCAGTTTTCTCAAAATCAATTTTGGGACAAAATCTCAAATTGAGTTTGCCAAAATTTCTCAAGTCTGCTCCCTCTTCCCCAAGACTCAAAAGGAGCTATGTATGAAAAGTATGGGAGATTTAGAAGGAAAAGATTCTGGCGGCAAGAATTTTGCTTCCCTCCTCCCAATTCTAAAAAATATAGTTTTCCTTCCTTAGTTAGAATTCTACAAAAAAACCTAATATTTTGCATTCCACTGTACCTTAATAGATACTTGGAGACGAAAATCGCTGAGGCTTTTGCTGCTGAGATCCACAAAGCTTGTTTTCTACAAATTCAAGGTACCCAATTTAGTTAACAAATATCTTTCTTTTTCTTGGTTGTTCGGATTTGGGTTAGTAGATTTCTTTCTTTTTCTTAATTGTTCGGATTTGGGTTAACAATTTTCTCTTTTAGATATTGATTGGTAGATTGATTTTGATTTTTTTTGGTGGTCAAACAGTGTGTTTCTGGACATTTGTTGTTTAGTACATTTATAAAGTTGGATATAAGATTTTCATTATTTAATGGTAGATTATGCTTAGAGTTCAATTAAATTATTGGTTTCTTGGTTATTAAAGGGTTGATTATTGTATAGTACATATTGGTTATTCTTTTTGTTGTCTGCTTTGGTTGAAAAAATTGGATCTTGTATTATTTTTTTTGTGTGAGAGAGAGAGAAAGTTTGGTGTTAATCTTTGTGAGGAGTACCCCATTTTGCTGGTTTTAATAAATATATTAATATTAATTTTTATCAAGTAAAAGTTTTTGCGGTCTATACAGTTATGTCACTTTATACAAAATATATTTTAGATACTGATTATTAGATTGGTTTGAAAATGAAGAGGATATTAAATGAGTTAGAGAAGGTGTGCCGGGAATAGAAATTGACTCACTTACTTTGGAAAGTATTGAAACATATGATGAAGAAGACGACATATCTTAGTTACTTTTATTATTTTAGTAAAGATTGTTATTAAACATAGATCATCGAGTTTGGGAATTCTTATTATGCTTTTTAGTTGTTTAAATCTCACATGCGTATATGTCTTTTTATTTGGCCTGCTAGTTTGATATTATTTTATACGTCTGGATAGTAGAAAATATTTTTCAATTTTGCAGGAACTATGGTTTTTTAGCAACTTTGTTGTGATGGCAAGAAAAAGAGAAAGAAATTCTAGTCAAGAAATGCTTCTGCCTGATTTTTTGGAGCAACAAGAAGAACAAATGGGCGGTGCGGCGATGCCTTAACCACCTCAAAACTGGCCACAAAATGAAGGACAAGCTATCCGATCTGGTAAATCAAGAAATGATTCACATGAAACAGAAAATTTCCTAGGTACTTATTCTGTATAACTGAGTGTATAACACGCTTATTCTGTGTGTTGCGCTCCACTATTTCTGGTTGTTAATAATTGAAGTGTTGTACTTTACACTATGGATATACTACAATGTAATTTGTACAAGATTAATTAAATGTTATTTAAGAGTGTCATGTACAATTACTTTTTTTAACCAAAAAAGGAAAAAAGAAATAAGAAAGAGATGTTAATTTGGTGAAGATTCTAATTGTAAAGACTTTTCTGTAGTTCATTTCTTATTAAGAAAAAAGAAATTGAATGTTTCACTGTTGTTTAGTGTTTTGGCTAGTTTTCAACAGCAAATTGTTAATTGTTTCTTGAAATTAACTTTGGTACTTAAGTATGCAATTAGTCAATTGTGTTCTTTTCCTAAATTTCTTTTGGAGCAAAAAGATCTAGAGTGCGATTTTCTGATGTAATTTTTGATAGAGCATAACCAAAGGCGAGTGCTCCCTAATTATTATCAAAGGAGGTGCTTTAACAGTCTCTATGGTGCAACGCTCCAAGATGAATAACAAGTTGTACTTTCTTTTTAAGTCTGCCTTCCTCCTAATGCAACTAGTCTGCAGTACAATGAAGTTGCTACTTACTAGTTATGGATGACTCTCTTTTTTTATATTTGGTCATTGCAGACTCTAGTGCTAATGAAGAGCAATCTAAGCGACCTAGGGGTCCTACTATGATGCACTCAGGATGGGAAAAAGATGGTGTCATTTTACATGTTGTGTTGAATAATCTTAGTCAAGCTATTGGACCTGATGCAGCTAGATTGAGTTCAAAACTTGGAGTCATAGCAAGAAATGGCATTTTAGCTCCTTTAAATCATAAAGATTGGAGGTTTGTGCCTAAACTATACAAGAATAGGATATTGGCTCATATTAAGGTGCTTAGAAAATTAAAGAAAAAGGTTATATACTAAGATGTTTATTGATTTTATGCTTTTATACATGTGTTATATATTAATGTTTGCAGGAAAATACTGATGTAACTGAGGATATGAGACGTATGTTGATGATATCGGTTGGATGTAAATGGAAAGAATGGAAGCATGAAGCAAAAATGATTGGTTATGAGCCATACAACAACGATATCGAGCGCTTAGCTAAATGTCCAGACAAGGTAGAAGAAGACCAGTGGCGTGCATTAGTTCATTATTGGAGCTCTAATGAAGCAAAGGTATTCTCCGAGCATCAAGCATCTTCTTCTCTTGCCCTTAGCACATGCTATTAGCGCATTTCGTATGCGGATCATACTTTTTCCTCTAAATATTTTTATATTTTTCCTCTGTAATTCTTCTTACCTTTTCTCTTTTTTCTTTTAAAAGTTTTATTCTTTGGTCTGATATTTGGCCATAGATTATCTATAATATATAAAATTACGTGTAACTTTTCTAGGAAAATAGCGAGAGGAACAAAGAAAGTCGAAGGAAGTTGAGTATGCCACACACATCAGGAAGAAAAAGTCATTCTCAAAGTATCGATGATGTATGCCATATTTACTATAAGCTTTCTACAATTTATATATCAATACTTATTTTCTTGAATATAATTGTTGTAAATTTTTTATTATTTAAACAGATGACAAAGAAGAATGGTGTAAAATCAAGTCGTATCGAAGTATTCATAGAAACACATACGAGAAAGAGTAAACAACCAATTAATGAGATAGCTGATAAAACTATGGTAAATTCACATTCTTTATGAATATAAACTACTTTTTTTCCAATATAAAATTTTATTAACTTTTCATTGTTTTGCTTTTTCTTTCCAAAAGAAAGAAATGGATGAACTTGCTAAGGTGTATCCTGAGTTAAATGTCCCTGGAAGTGCTCCCAATGATGTGTATGCACAGGTTATGGGACCAGACACTCATGGAAATGTTCGAACATTAGGAAAATGAGCAGCTCCAAGTTTTGTTTATGGCCCTGCATATAAGCGATCCCAAGCTGAGCAAAGAGATTTTGAAAGAAGGGTTGAGATAGAAGTTGAAAAAGCTACCTCCGCTATGAGAATTGCGATGGAAGAAAAATTGGCTGAAGCAAAAGAAGAAATAGAAAAGACAGAGAAAAAGTTATTTGAAGCAAAAGAAGAAATAAAAGCACTGGGAGAAAAATGTTAGAAGCCACAAAGGATATAGATGCAAAAATAGACGATAAAGTAAAGCTGAGTATAAAGGCATATCTAGAATCTTTGGGTATTACTATTGGCTCAAATAGAAAATTATGTGGTGATGAGCAGGTAAAAAATATTGTGCTCTGTAGCAAATATTTATTGTATTTAAGATAATCTTGTAATTTAGTTTTCTTTTAATTGTAATAATCTTCCTCTTTTGTGATAGGTTTCTGATAACTCAATGGACGATCACCAACAATCACTATCACCTGTTTCACTCTTTCACACAAAGATGGTGAGTTCGTAAACTCATTTAAACTATATATTTTTCTGCATACTTTGAAGAGTATAGTTTTAACTATGTCAATTTTTGCTTCAGTTACGTAAAGCTTCAAAATAGCATTTTAAAGTATAGAGGCTATTTTCTAGTAAAAACGATTATGAGTATTTCTAATTGAGAGTGAAACTTTTTGTGAAGAGTTGATCAAGATTCACAAAGTGTACAATAATAAATCAGCAGCTGAGCCAATGAGCAATAGTAATGGTTGAAATTTAGTTTTTAGTGTTCTACAAACAATAGTTAGAATGATTTTTTTAGCAATAAGTACTATTGGGTTGATTGAATATTGAAGTATATCGAACTGATGAATCACAATTGAGGAGTCTGTGTGGAGAGTTGCTGAGAAATAATCTGTATTTTTGTCCTAGTTATTGTAATCTGGAATTAAACTGAGTCTTACTATATTGTCCAGTCCAATATCAAATTAAAAGAAGAGATCTTCATGCTTTATCAGCCAGTATTCTTCTTCTTATCCAAAAAGTAATTGTACAGATCGCCAAGATCACTTCGTCAGTTACACTAATTTCTGTTATCAAGGGGGATCATAGGGGCATGTGTTTCTTGTCATCAATTGTTGCCCTCTTTCTTTGCAGAGTCAAGGGTTTCACAAGCAACTAAATCTTAAGATCTTTCCTCGCCTTTTCCAGTTTTTGGTAGTGAAATTTTGGCGGTAGGTGTTGACATACTTCCTGATATCATCTTCCATGAAAAGGTTGAAAAGCTTTCTCATCTTTGATGCATATTCTTATGAAAAAGCATCGCAACTCTTAAGGCTCTTCTGCAGCTTACACTTAAGGATGAAGTTCCATTTTTTAAACTTGTGTTTGACAATGATAGTGGTATTCTTGTTGTAGCTGTGAAGAAGTTAGCTTCTTTTTTTCTTTTTGTTAATTGATAAGATTCCCATCAAGCATGATTTTACCCTCCTACACAAGATATTTAGCCTTTTGTAGAACCTGGAAGAAAGAGTAAGTTGAAGACTCTTACCTAGATGAGGGAAATAAAGATCTATGATTGAAACGCCATCATATTAGGAAATAAAAATTATTATATGACTTTTGTCCTGTTTTTATATATCTT